ACATTTCCATTTGATGATAATCATCACTGTCGTCAGCACTGAAATCCTCCCACTCATCGGCATCATCATCTTCATTGTCGTCATTATCGTCGTCCGATGTGGATGATGGCTTTACCAGGGAATTGATGGTTTGTAAGATCTCTTGTGTATGTTGTAAGATGCCTTCATCATCTGATTCAATCTTATGATATAACTACGATTAAGTTTTTATGAGAAATTGGATGTTTGATTCATTCGTCAACGACAAAAGGTTAGAAGTTATGAAAAATAATCGAGAGTAGCAATGATTTTTTTTAGGATCGATATTTTCATTTCTTTTTAAATACCTTTTCACAAGTAATCAAACAATCACGGGCATCTTCCCAGTAGGCTAACTGATTTTCCTTATTTTGCAACGAGTCTTGACCCATACAATAATAACACCATCCATAAAGATACCATATTTCGACTACTTGATCATCTTCTTTTTGCAAAATTTCAAGAACAGAAAGTGCTTGGGTATATTGGGAAAGTTCAAGGAGTAATTTTACTAAAGATATTCGGGTATCATAAGAAGGTATTGATGGATCACCTTTGAAGTAAAGATTAATAAGTGTATATAACATAATAATAAATAATAATATATCAAATAAATATATATATCAATGAAATAAATAGATGATAGAATTGATGGAATACCCGGTTCCAAATTGATCCATGAACTTAAACTTTTTTCCAAAGCAATTTTTGCTTCATCATTTCTTTGCTGAGAAAGCCTAACTGAAGCTAATAATTGATAAACTTCAGGATTTGTTGGATCGATTTCCAAAGCTTTATTTAAATATTCTTCACATTTCGATTCAGCATCTGATTCGAAACTTTAAATATTATTAGACTAATAATTCTTTTTTCCACTAATGACTTTATTAGCTTACCAACAGTCAGTCAAATAGATTTCAATCATTGAACATAATGCTGTAGAAATTTTATGGTTTAAAGATTCATGCGAATCTTGTGATGATGACAACTTATTGGAAGTAATTGATTTATGTTCGTCAATCATTAAATTAACACCACATTGAAAATTTTTAATAGCTTCTAGACCTTCACATAATTGACCCATGTACATATATTTTGAATATCCTTGATTCGGATTTATTGAAATGGCTTTTAAAAAATGCTATTTATTATTATGTAAATGATGACAATATAATAATGATTAAATATCTCGTGCATAAAAAAAATAAGGTTCAATTAAAACTATTTTTAAAAATCATTATCTCCATTAAATACCTCTTTAGCTTCATCGAACATTCCTAATTCTATTTCCACCATTCCCAAAACTTCTAAAACCATAATATTATTACTTTCCATACTCAAAGCCCTTTTAGCAAATTGTAAGGCTAACTGATAATCACATGTATCTATTAAAGAAGAAATTTTAGATAATAAATCTGATACCGTATAAGAATTTGTTTTTAAATTATTTTTGTTTGTAGTCGACATTTTTTCGATTTGATTTACGCGAAAAAAAGTTGCATCTACAATTTTATTATGTAACACATGTGTTCGGAAAGTATCGGGAACGAGTTTCTATGCTACTTACCGGCATGTATTATTTTTTCGATTAGAAGCAGCCGATTAATCATATGCGGAAGATTCATCTGTTTTCGCAAAGACATCCCGTTTCACCATGCTCCTGGTATTTTTCCTGCTAATATCGATATATGAACTGATATATGCATAATTAAATAGTTTGGCTAATATCTAATAAGATTTATATATATAGCGCACATAGAATTTTGTTCAATATTCATTTAGCGCACATAAATTTTATACTGATACATGCTACTGGTTTACTCGTGATCTCGATTATTGTTACACCAATTCAATCTTAGATCCAAACTTTTTGTTTACTTTTTTATAAGCTACCAGTCAAAAAATCATTATAGAAAGCCGACCTGCTTGCTCAAATTTTCACCTAATATAAGTATCCGTAATAACAACTCTTATGGATAATGA